TGTGGGGAGGTCTCCGGTGGCAGGAGGGCAGGGCTGGGGTCAGTGCGGGAGCTGGTGGGCTAGGGCCCGTGGTGTGATGCGTTTATGGTGCGGGAGAAGCGGGGCAGGCCCGGGCCCAGCCCCCGGGTGTGGGCGGGGAGGGCGCCCACCTGTGGCTGCGCAGCAGGCGCACGAGGGCCTTGGCGATGACGCCCACCTCCGCCTTGGGCGCCAGGTGGAAGTAGAGCTGCGCCACCGCCATGACCACCGCGGCGCTGCGGCTCTGCAGCAGCGGCTTCGTGTTGCGCAGCAGCAGCCGGTGGTCGGGGTCCATGACGTAGGGCTTTCGGGCGGGCAGAGCTGTGGCAGTCGCCTCCTCCGACCCCGGGCCCTTGGCTTCATCCTCCTCGGAGCCGTAGAAGGCCTTCTCAGGGTTCTCCTCCAGCAGAGACTCCTGGAGAGGGAGACAGGTGGGGCACTGGGCACCTCCTCCAGGCGACCCTCCTACCCACACTGCCGGGCGAGGGTGGGGGTCCCGCCCACTCACGTTCTGAGTGGGGCTCAGGAACTGCGTGCGGGCGTAGCGGGTGAGCATGCTGATGATGACCACCTGGCCCCACTCCTCCACGTCGATGAGCAGGTTACAGAGCTTCCGGTAGTTCTTGTGGATCAGGTCAATGCGCTCCGGGCACACCTCCTCGAAGGCCATCACCACACTGCCTGCCACCAGCTGGGGAACCAATAAAGGCAAGAGAGCATGAACGGGGACAGAAGGGCCTCTGCCTGGCACCTTTCCTCCATGCAACCCTGTACGTCTGTATACGCACCGTGGTCTTGTCGGCCAGAAGCTTCTCAATAACCTCTATCAGCTGGTCCTTCTGGTCAGAATCCAAACTGAGGGAGAAATTGTTGAGAAGAATTTGCCCCTCCCCCCATCTCCAGCCTTCCTAATATCTGCCAAGCTGTGTTCACCTCCCTCACCCCAACCCTATTCACAAAGAGGTGTGAGCCACTGCCTCCAGTGTCCTCCATCTGTCAGTTCCCCCAAACTATCTTAAACCATCTGAAGAGTTTTTTTTAAGATGGCAGCCTGCAAGACTTGGGAGAGGGCAGGTGAGGGCCGGGGGCTTGGGGTATACCTGTAGAGCTTAGGGATGGCATGGGCAGCTGTTTTCCTCACGTAGGGTGACATATCTGAGGCAGCTTCCTTGATGGCCAGCATCATGATGGGCACTATGATGGGCACACGGATGCTAGAGAGGACGCGGAGGGCACTGGCACGAATCAGCTGGTTGGGATCCTAAGGACAGAGGTGGAGGCAGAGCCATGGGAGGGCAGCAGGTGGCCCGATGGGAGAGGCCATACCTATGGAACTCACTGTTCCTAGTTAACACCAGCTCTTACTTCCCTGACTGCTGTCTTGAGCCTGGATGATGTGCTAGTGCTGGGTACCTGGGGGCACTGCCTGAGGGCACCGACTCTTGGCCTCGCTACAGAAATCTGATACCTGAACTGATGTGGCACTGGGCTGCTTCGCTTTCAGGAAGAGTAACAGTATTTCCAAATACCCAAAGTTCTTGAAACACACCTCCTGTTCCTGAGGGGTGTGTGTGAAGGGGGAGGACATCTTTGTGTTTCCACTGGAGGTGACTGCCAGCAAATGCAAACTGGTCTCCCTTCCAAAGAGTTCATCCTTACAGCCCTCTCCCAGCAGCCCCTCAAAAGCTGCCCTTTTTCCTCATTCTCCACAGTGTTGAAAAGAGAATAGGTGTGTAGGCCCCGCCTCTTTGCTCCTATTGCTTCCTACAGACACCTGAGAAGAGCCTCAGACAGTGTACTGTAATCATGAGATGGCATAGCAACAGCAGAAGCTGTAAATTACTGTTAATCTTGGAGGATGGTGGACAGTGGGAGAGGTGCTGGTACACTAAAGGATAGATGCTACCCTGATTTTCTAAAAGGGAGAAAGAGAAGATCCACAAAATTACAAGTGAAAATGATGGTAATCCCTGACAAAATTCTGGAATTGAGTTTTAAGTAGATGGTTTAGAAGCACCTAATTAAAAAGCAGAAGTCTATTTTCTTAAGGTCAAATCATATCACATTCACTGCTAAAACCTATTATCCTTTTTTTTAAAAACACTTTCTTTGAAAATAATTATGGACTCACAGGAAGTTAATCCACCCCCAAATCCATTTTCCTTTTTGACAAGGTAATTAGGCTGATAGATATAAACACTATGTACCTTGATTTCAGCAAAGCATTTGTAAGAGTCTCTCACAGCATTTCCTGGATTGCCATTTTTGATGCCAGTCTTTTGTCTCACTTAACATGTAAGCATTTTAAGAGCAGAATTCACGTCTACTTTATCTCTGAATAACCACAGCCCTTTGCACATGAAAGATATTGAGAAATTATTTTGCTGTTGAATAAGATCTTTCCTAACAAGATAGGATGATGCTGGCTGACTGCACAGTGAGGTGGATCAACAGTTTGGTAAAATGTAGTAACTGGGGTAAGTTTTACTAACAGATCAGTGTCAACCTAGAAACATGATACACGGGGCTCATTGTTTGTTGCCTTTGTCTGAATATCTTATCAACATTTTGGAGGAAGACACAAAATCAGGACAAAATTCAGATTCAGAATCACCCTGGCTTGGATCCTGTGCTAAACCTGTAAAATGAAATATAACAGAATTTCACAGGGAACTCAAGGGACCAACTGCATAGACAGGATGTAGGAAGACCTGGATTATCTGCTTGCCAACTGGAAGTTTGTCTGAATTGAGCCAACAACTTAAGTGGGATGCTAAGAAAGCAAACACAGCCTCAGCCTAGGTTGAGGGAAAAGGCTGGTTCGGAAGTGTAGGAGAGCCCCCCAAACAGTACCAATAACAAAGAGAAAATGAGTTTTAGAGGAATACATATAAGGTACTGTTTACAAAACAATGTTATATATTATTTAGGAATATCTAAATAAATAGTAAAACAATAAAACGTGCATATGAATAAAAAACAGGAAGGTACATAGGGAGCTCTGGCGATTTGATAAATCTTTCATTTCCTATGCTGGGAATACATTTCATTACATTATTCTTTATGCCTTTTGCAGATCTGAAATAAATTTTTAAAAATTACAGCCATGGAAGTTTCAAAACGATATAATTTTTTTTTAAAAAAAGCTGTAATCCTCTCACACCTGTGAGAATGGCTATGGTCAAAAAGGTAACAAATAATAATGTCGGAGAGAATGTGGAGAAGAGGGAACTCTCTTGCACTGTTGGTGTGAATGTGAATTGGTGTAGCCACCATGGAAAAGAGTGTGGAGATCCCTCAAAAAATTAAAAACAGAACTTCCATATGACCCAGCAATTCCACTCCTGGACACATATGCAAAGAAAATGAAAACACTAATTTGAAAAGGTGTGTGACCCTAATGTTCATAGTAGCATTATTTACAAGATATGGTTATTGCTATCTCAGCATTATTGCTGAGATAGTGGATAAAGAAGATGTAACACACACACACACACACTGGACTATTACTCAGTCATAAAAAGAATGAAATGCTACCATTTGCAACAACATGGATGGACCCAGAGGGTATTATGCTTAGAGAAATAAGTCAGAGAAAGACAAATACTATGTTTTCATTATTTGTGGAATCTAAAAAATGAAACAAATTAATAGAGCAGAATAGAAACAGACTCACAGATACAGAGAACTAGTAGTTACCAGTGGGAAGGGGGGTGAGGGTAGGAATAAGACAAGGGAAGGGGATTAAGAGGTACAAACTAGTAGGTATAAAATAAATAAGATACAAAGATGTAACGTAAGGCACAGGGAATACAGCCAATATTTTATAATAACTTTAAGGAGCATAAGCTACTATACAAATATGGGATCACTAGGTTGTACACCTGAGACAAATATAACATTGTAAGTCAACTATACTTCAATCAAAACAAAAAGAAAAAACAGTTGTAATTTAAGACAGAGTGCGGGCTCTATCACCGGAGGTGACCTGTCAGGTATCATTTGCTCTAGATGATCCTTTGTTCTAGGGCAAAGGTTGGCACACTACAGTCCTCCGGCCGGATATGTCTTCTGCTTTTTATAAATAAGAATGTATAAGAACCTGGCCATGCCCACTCATTATGGCCACTTTCACACTACAATAGCAAAGGGGAGCAGTTGCAAGGTTGAGACTGGATGGCCTGCACAGTCTAAATTACCACCTCCTGGCAGTATACAGAAAAGGTTTGCTGACCACTGTTCTAGAGAAATCATTGCATTGAGTTGGACTGAACGAGCTCTGGTTTTCTAAAAAGGGAACAAGGGCGGCTGTAGGAACTTCAGGTCAGTGTAAAAATCTGTGCACAAATACCAGAATGGTTCTTATAAAATGATTCAGCCCCGATTCAGATCAATCTGAGACAGATAGATCCTATGGTTTTGACTTTCACAAATAGCCTAGCACAATGAGTGGCACAGAGATATCCAAGTATTTGCTGAATTAAAGAACAGCGTATGCACATGCCCATGCTTTCTGCCCCACCTTGGAGAAGCAGACTTTGTCTTCCCTTCCTGCCAGCCACAGCAGACTGAACCAGGCATGAGCCCTGGGTTTGGGCAGTCAACGCTCAGGCTGCTCAGCAACCTACAGAATCAGCTGAACATGAAAAGATTAGCTGGACCTTTCTGAATCTCTCTCATAAGAATTTGAACTAAATGTGTGGGAAGACTAGGGAGCGTTAATGGCTGTAATCCGCACTGAAGAGTCTGATTTGGAGAGAGAACAGAGTGGTGGGGATGCTGGCTTCTGTACCCTGGAGATTATCTTATACTAACCAGAAAAGCACCCAGTGGAGGGGGTCATGCCTGCATTTAATATACAAAACAAGAGGTGAGAATATTCAGTTTATATAGTGTGGGGGGATTCAGCCTCCACTCCATTCTAGAATACTTGAACTCCATTCTAGAATACTTGAATCTTCTGTTCTAGAATACTGTTCCTTCCCTTAGGTGAAGTCAAGTTCCGCCTTCCTCAAAGAGCATTTCACCACAACAAATGTGATCCAGGTCCTTAAAGGCAAATATTTTGCATACATTGGGGCATCTAAGGCAAGTCAACTACTTCTTCTGGTGCTAAACAGAATAATCAATTTGTTCCAATTCTCCAGGAACAATCGGCTGTATTGAAATTCTTGAAAATGGACTGGTTCTATTTTTATGTTCTCTGTGCTGACCCTCAGACCTAACTTCCACATCTAGTGTTGCTCTCCTGCTTGGTAAACTTTGTGATTTTCCTCTCGGTGGAGCTCATTTGTTTTCAGTAAGCCCTTCTGTCCTCCTTACCAAGTTCCAGGTGAAAAGGTTCCAAAGCCATCATTCTCTACAGAGATCTAGACTAGGGGACCCTGCCAGTGCCAAGGCTTTGTCACCCAGAGGTGAGGAATCCAGGTCAGCACCTCACAGAACCCTGTCTTAAGCAGGTTGACTTCTGCCTGGCTGTGGGTCACAACTCCGTTACACCAGTGGAGATGAGGGCCAATTACCAGGAGCTCAGGTGGTTCATATCTGAGGCAGCCTCAAAGCACAGGCTCCTCTAAGTCTGACTCTCAACTTTAGGCAGCTAGGAAAGGGCCTCCAGAGCCTGCCCCCCATGCTCAGACCTCTTCCTGGGCTCACTCCTGCAATACAACATCAACAGGGCCCAGACCCCAGGGAGGCAAGCTGAGCCCTCTGACCTTTAGGCCACGCTGGAAGGTGGAGATGGAGAGCAGGGCTAGGTCTTGCTGCTCCTCAGCGTAGCGCACCAGGTACACGTAGACAAGCTTCTTCACCTGGGAAAGAGCGGGTTTCTCAGAAGGGATTGGTACCCCGACTCGTGAGATGTCATCACCCCAGCTGGCTGCAGTCCATGGGGTGAGCATCCTGGGTGAACCCTGGCTCCTTCACTCTAACACACATCTAGTTCAGGGACATGTAGACAGTGCCTTTTCCTGGACCAAGGACATTTTTGAGCAGATCAGGCCCCCAGGGGCTGGAGGGTTCCCTTCCTCACCCCCAGTGAGCTCCAGTTTATTCCTGGTGGAGGTGGGCATGAGGGACCCCTCATTGGGTAGCACTCACCTCTATGTTCTTACAGGCCACATTCTTCACCACAGCAGGAAACAGGTCTGAGGCATTCTTTCCCCGGGCGATCATCTGGGTGGTGGGATCAAGGCAGGGGGAGAAGGAGAAGAGAGGAGGCCAGCACTCATTAGGGGAAGGTCCACAAGGAGCCAAGGACATATGTTCTTTGATTCCCAGGCCCCCGCCCCAAGGAAGGACCCCTCCTTCCGCCCTCACCGCCACAATCCTCTTCATGGCCTCCAGCTTGAGGGAATCCTTGTTGGTGTCCAGCATCTCCTTCAGGTCATCATGCCTGGCAGGAGGCACAAGAGATCAGCTGAGGGCACAAGGGTGGTGAGGGCGCTGTCAATCAGTAGGATCCAGGCAGAAAGAAGGGACATGGGCATGGAAGGTTCAGGCAGGACCCAACCAGAAGGGCAGGTGGTAAAGGACAGATCAGGGAACTTGGGGTCAGGAGAAACATGTGGGCCAGCCAATGTTATGGGCTGAATTGTATCCCCCGCAAAACAGATGTTGAAGTCCTAACCCTGAGTACCCCAGAATGTGAACTTATTTGGAAATAGAATTGTTTCAGTTGTAATTAGTTAGGATGAGGTAACATTAGAGTAAGGTGAGTCCCTGATCCAATATGTCTGGTGTTCTTATAAGAAGATGGCCCATGGTACCAGGTTGAAAATATGAAGTCATGGCCTCAGGGAGAATGCCTTGTGAAGGCAGAGGATTGGAGTGACACATCTACAAGTCAATGAACACCAAAGATTGCCAGGAAACTACCAGAAGCTAGGAAGGGCGAGGCAGGATTCCCCTACAGGGAATCCTGCTAGCACCTTGATTTTGGACTTCTAGCTTCCAGAACTGTGAGACAATAAATTTCTGTTGTTCTAAGCCCCCAGGTTTGTGGTTACAGCAGCCCTGGAAAACGAATATAGTCAGGAGATAAGAGGATGGGTTTGGGGTGGGAAATTTAGGAACCCAGCCTAGGAAATGGCCAGTTGGATAGATGAGAAGGACCTGATGGGTGTCAAAACAAGAGCCAGATACCCGTGCCCTGGCTGAGGGTACTCCCAGGCCCTGACCCCACAGATTGAGCTGATTTCAAGGACTGGACAGGTCCTAGGTGCTCCAGAGTCTATTGAGATGGCCTTATAACAAACACCAGATATGTCACTCAACATTGAACAGTCATTCAAGGAAGTTATAAAACCCTAATGTGAGAAATAAATGACAATTTGAATAAATAACCCCTTTCACAAGGCAGAGGGGAATAAAGGTAGCCCCCAAGGCAACATACAAATTGAATTTCAATGGAGGCCTTTGTCAAACTTCCTGAAGTGACTGCAGATTTCATCTGGAAACAAAAATCAATAAGTAAGAATTCCAAAGAATTTGGGAAGGAGGGAGAGTAGAGAACAATGGAACAGTGACAGACAACTCACCCTACTGGAATTCAAAACACAAAACTACATGACAATGATAAAAGCCCTCTGGTACCAGGTTAAAAATATAAAGTCAAAGGTCATAGGGGGAAATTTCACAAATGGATCTAAGTTGATACATTAGGAACAAAAAACTCACCAATGAGAGAAAGAACCTTTGTCCTTCCCTTAAATAAATATTGTTGGGACAACTGCCATGTAGCAAATAATTTAACTTGTTTACATATCTCACACCAAAATGAAGTCCACATTTATTTAACAGTTATATTATATATATAGTTTTTTAGATAAAAGGGGAACTTAATTTTCAAGGTTATAAAATCATCAGTAATAAGATAGCTAGGTTTAATGTTAACTTTATTTTTAACTTAAACTAAATTTAGGGGGCGGAAAACCCTTTAAAGGCTCAACCTTCACTTAGTCACATTCTGAGATACTAGGGGTTAGGATTTCAACATATGAATTTGAGGGAGACACAGTTCAGCCCATAACAGCAATAGAAAGGAAAATATTTGGGATATAGTGAATAAAAGTTTAATATTCAATGTCCATGTATGACTGAAAAATTGTACTGAACACTGGAATTTGACACAACACTGTGATTATGAATCAATAAAAATGTATTTAATATTCAAAAGAGGTAAAGTATTGATGTAAATTTAGGGCCTAAATTCAGTATTCATTGTCAGGGCTGCTTCAAGCCCATCTACCATCCACTTGCCCCTCCAGGCAGACATAGCTCTGAGATGTTGTTCCCCATTCAGTGATTGGAGCATGGTCTGGTATTCCCTGGCCATGTACCCTTGTGCAGTGAACAACCTGCCCAACCATACCCAGAGGTCCAGGGGCTGGTGGTCAAAGAAGTGAACAGAGAAGTGTGAATAACCCCATGAAAAAATGTGTCTGGTCATAGCTGATAGAGCTGTGTGACCACTGATGTACTCATATGTTGCCCAGACAACTTCACAATGTGATGAGCAGCTCTGTATGGAGACCTGCACATTCTCTAATCCCCAGATGATACTCGGATAACCCACAGCTTTGACCTAGGGATGAGAACCCAGCCAAGAGAGGTATCACCAATGGTATGAATTAAAAAATCAGTGTATACAATTAGTCACAGAAGTGAAACATTTAGAAGCTGTAGAAAATCAGAAATTGGAGGTAGCAATATTAGGAGAGGGAAGAGCATGATAATAGTCACAAAGAGGCAAGTGTGACCAGTGCTGATGCTGCAGGATGAGTAAGTGACAAATACTAAGAGGAAGAGAAGAATCTAACACACACCTAGTCACAGGGCTGCATTTTATAGAAACCTGTGAATGCTTAAGAGATAAAATCAGAAAAGACAGGAGGAGTGCTAAGAAATTGATGTTCAAGGATTTAAAAAGTGTCTTTCCTGAAGAATTTATTATGGAAAGCAAAATAAAATTTTGATGCCTTCCAGAACACAGAGGACTTGCTGGTAGTCAGATGAGGGCAGATGTCCAGACCCACTCATGTTGCTCTAAACTTGGGATGTCCCCCAAACCAGAGGACATTTTCTACTCCCTATGGCCATGCCAAGGTCAGAAGATAATCACCTTGTCACTGTCCTAAACACAAACCAGATGGTCAATTCCTAGGCGTGTTGAGCTCAGGACATGTGGCTGTGGACAGAGGTACAGACCACTCAGCTGGGCCTGGGCAGCACTGAGGGTGTGGGAAGAATGACAGAGCTGGATGTCACCTTTCCTGGTAAAAAAACGCACACCACTGCAACCCCCAGGATCTTCCACACATGCCCCAGCCAACTCACCCCTACAGATACCTACATATACCAAGACCCCCGCTGAACGCTGGTGCCACCAATACACTCCCATATCTCCCCCACAGACATACCTACACCCCCAGACATAACCATACCCCCAAAGACACACCTACATCCCTCCAGACACATATAATCCACTCATAAACCCCCACCACACAAAAAACCTTTCAGACACACACCCCCAATCCCCACAGAAACACACACAGTCATAGACACATACAGACACTTCCCACAAAAACACTCTCAACACATAAACCCACATACCTGTGGACACACACACCTCACCCACAAATCCCTACAGACACTCATAGACACATACCACCACAAGCCCTCTCCATACCCCTCAAACCCTGAACTAGACATGCACAGCCCACACAATGCACATGCCCTACGTACAGTCCCTCCATAGATACACACACCACACATACTCTACACACACACATGTTTTCGACAAAACTGGGTCACTCCAGTCTTATTCACCAAAACGGCCTGTGGACTCCTATTTGAGATTCTTCATGATAAATATAGGCTTCTAAGATCAAACAAATCTAGTGTCACAGATCCTCTGACTTCCTCTTGAGGAATCAGGTGGGTGTCCTCATTGGTCAGTGTGGGGTGACTTCACTGGGACCAGTCAGAGTTTGCCCAGGCCCCTTTAAAGCTGGCTATTCCCTAAAGCAGACTTCCTCACACTCGGCTGTCCTAACCGCCATGACAGATGCCACGGGCCCATGTCAAATGCCTTCCACATACCCAGGACATGTACTGGGGTACGCACACTGCCCCCACCCAGCTAACCTAGTGCACACACTCCTGGCTCCTGAAGGCTCCAAGGCCCTGGGCAAAGGGGACTCGAGGGAGGGGAGGGGCTGTCACAGCAGACAAGCAGAGGCAGGATTGTCAGATGCCCACTAACACAGACAGCAGATCCCTCTACCCTGGGTCCCTCATCTTTGCTCCCACCAGTTCATGTTCCCAAGAGGGAGAGGAAGGGAGAGATACACAGCAACACTCTGAGGCCATGAAAGATTCATCTCATGTAGTCAGATCCCCTTACACTGCACTCACTGTGACCTGACCTCTGGCCTGGCCTGGACTGAGGGGCTCTCCGGGGGTGACTGGAGCCAGCCGGGGATAAACATGGCATATCCACTTCACCTGATAAACACCTTCCTCACTCCTCTCCCCACCCAAGTCCCATTAGATGGGAGAAGGTGGCCAAGTATTTTATCCTGTGTTTATCCTGTGCCCAAACCTCACCAGAACCCACTTTAGCCAAGATCTGGGGGATGGAAAAGGTCAAATATTTTGCTCCACCCTCGAATATTTTAGTATCCTCTTCCCTTCAGAGGTTACAGGGAGATAAGCTCGTCTCCCCCCAACTCAAACTCTCAGTCCCCGCACAGTGCCCCTGACAGCCCCCTCCCTCATAGACCTTAAGTGCCGCCCAGTCCTCCTGCTGAGGACTGGAACTTAAAGGGGTCTGGGCTCAGAGTGGCAGCTTCCCATCCCTTGACTTCCCGGCTGTCTGTGTGAGGGTCCCTGGGGGCTCCTCTGTACCGCAGTGGCTGGCTCTGGTTCTGGCCTTGGTCAGTCTCCGGGCAAGATCCTTCCCGGGATGTTTCTGGGGTCGTGTCTTCCTCTGGAGCCTGTAGCCACCGAAGCTCCTCCGGCTGAAGGGCCTGGTACCAGGGTGGCGGCCCACCTTCAGGGGCCAGCACAGGGCTGGCAGCCTCCTGATCAGCCCCACAGGCCCCTCTGCCCCCTGGCCTCACCACGGTCCCTGGGAGCTGCAGGAATCGCTGCATTGGACACCAAGTCTTGATCCAAAATGGGACTGAGCTGACCAGGGAGCCAGGGATGCCTGTCACTGTCACCAGACAGCCCGCCCCGAAACTCAGAAACCAGACACTGGCGGGGAGGAAGGATCTGGTTTCCTCTTCGCTGCTCAGAGACAGGGACTCACCAGGGGGAGGAGGGCAGGGACTGGGGACAAAGCCAACCCCCAATATCCAGGCAGGGGACTAGGAGGGGTTAGGGAGCTGATCCAGACAGAAGTGAGGCTTCCCTCACCTCTACTCTCATGCCACAACTGGACCTCTGCCTCCCAGAACTGCTCTTCCTCAGAAATCTTATTCACCCTGTGCTCCCTCTGACCCTAGCCCTCCAGATCCTCACCTATCTTTCCAGAGCCAGTTCCTTGATTTTTCCCTTCCTATCAGCACTCTCTTATCCCTACTTCCTTCATACCTGGCCTAGGCCCCCCACGTCAACCCCTCCAACTGCTCCCTACCCTGCCAGGAGCTGTTGCCTTTATTGGCTGTATTTCAAACCCACTCCACGCTCCTCAAATTCTCACCCCTAGCCTTGCCCTTGCAAGCTTCACTAATTGCTTCTCATAGAAAATAAAGATCTTAGATCAAATCCCCCGCAGCTGCCAAACACCTGCATCTATGCTCTCCTCTCCTCCTGCCCTCCTCCCTCGGAGCAGAGCTGGTCCTCCTCAAAACCATGCCAGTCCTCTGACCCAGCTCTTTAAGCCTTCCCTCCCATCACTCAGGGATCTCTGCCTCCTTCAGTTCCTTTCAGCCTCCCCTACACTATTGGCTCCTTCCCATCAGCAGTTAAACTTGCTCTAGTCTCTCCCATCCTATAATAAACAAAGAAAAATAATAACAAAAATAAAATAAATAAATCTTGAACTGAAGTTCTCCTCTGGCAACTCTCTCCCTCTCTTCCCTCTACAATCACACTTCTTGAAAGAAAAATTCCTATTCCCTGTGTTTATTTTTTTAATTCCTATTCCTATTCACGCCTCTATTCACTTTAATCTGGCTTCATATGCTGATTAGAAATTAGGGCTGAGGGGCCATGTTTGCAACTTACATGGTTCAGGCAAAAATATTTATAGCTAGATGGTTAAATAAAGCAAATATGGCACAATGTCAATGTTTGAATCTAGGTGGAGGGTATACATAAATTCATTACATTATGTTTAAAACTGTTCATTGTATTATGTTTAAAATTGTTCATAATATAATGGGGGGGTGGAATCTAGCTTCTCTTCTAACTTTGCCAGAACTGGTCTCCCAGGGCAGGAGGTGGGGGTTGGAGCAGGGAGGGGTTGCCCTGCACTTTGTCAAACCAGTGGTCACAATTTCTTCCCTTATTTGAGTTGAACTCAACGGGCATTGACACTGCTTATATCTTGCTTCTTCTTGAAACTACATTTTATTTTTCCTCCTATCCTTGGCTTACTTTTTCTCAGTTGCCTTGAGACACTTTCCCTGCTCTCTGGTCACCCTTAATGTCCATGTCTTCAGGGTTCACACCCATGCCCTGTGAACTTATTTTACTGCAGGCTGTCTAAGTTATCTTCACTTCGTTTTGTGGCTTTGATTGACATATATATACATACATATATATATATACATACACTAATAATCTCTCCTGGAATCCAAATCCTAACACCCTAGGACTAGACTTGAATGTACCTCAGAGTTTACAATCTCGGCATGTCAAAAGCTGGGCTCAACATTATTTTCCACAACTTTGCTTGTAATGATTTTATTTCTAGTTACACTGTATGGTACCATCATGTATCCGCTGCAAGAACTAGTAACTGGAGTATTATCCTTGTCTTTTCCTGGCCCCTTCCTCTCCCCTCCCCTCCCCTCCCAAGTTATCATCAGGTCTGTGGCTTCTACCACTTCAACAGCCCTCAAACCCTCTTAAACTTAGGCCACCATCATGTCCCCCCTCCTCCAATTTCAACATCCCCTCACTTGTCTCCTGCTCAGTCCAGCACATTCCTTCTCCACAATCCAGCCTGGCATCCTTCTAAAATGCTAATCTGCTATTGCCTGTTTAAAACTCTTCAGCGGCCACAGCCACCTCCAACCTTGGCGTCTCCTCACCTATATTTCTGGTCACTCCTGGGGGCTTGCTCAGAGATTCTGGCCACATTGTACTAACACCTACAAAACCTGTGACCAGGCTCTCCTTCACCTCTTTCCTCTGCCTGAAACATACCTCGCTCTCCCCCTCTCCCTTCTCTCCAGGCCCAGGGAACAACTCCTCATCCCTCTGACTGCCCCCACTACACTGAATCGTCACTGACAGAATCTTCCCTGTGTTCCCCTCTAGACAACTAGAGGACGTTCTCAAGAACTGAACCATGCTCAAGGCTGCATTTAGTGACTAGGACAAGGACAAGGCCCTTAAAAAATGCTTGTTTCAGAACTCACGAATAAACGAATTAACGAACGAATGAGCCAAAGGTAAAAGGGAAGAGTGGTAAGCACAGGGGCAAAGTAGGGACCATAGTGTGGGCGCCAGAGTGTAGATGGGGATGAGAACACGGGGACCAGAATGAGGGAAAATGGACTGTAGGAGGGGCCAGGCCTGGGAGGTTCTGAGTATGTATCCAGCACCGTCCTTCCCGGACAGGCCCGCGGCTCAAGCTCGCCGATTCTGGCCCCTCCCCTACGTTCTTTCAGGGTCAATTCGTCACGCGCGGAAAAAGGCGAGG